ATGCTCATATTCGGGTGGAGAAGTATGTTATTCAAAATTCGATGGCTCTGTGTACCGTTGTTTTATCACAGGGCGAGAAACATACATACATTTATGCAGATTCTTCGTTATTTAATTTCTTTAAATATAATACAAAGCTCTAATATTTGGTGGCTACAATTTAAAAAGTGAATCAACGCAAAAATGCCAAAACGAAATTAATAGTCCTTCTGGGCAAAAAACTGCCCCCTTTGTACTAAAAAAAAAAAAAAAAAAAAAAAAAAAATAAATAAATAAAAAAAAATAAAAATAAAATAAAAAAAAAAAAAAATCTGAAATGTTTCAGATTTTAAATTACGTCCAAAGGGGCGTTTTTTTAACACATTTTGTGTGTTTACCTTTTCTTTATTAAATATCATGTTTCCTCGCACTTAAACCATAAGATCCAGTGCAACAGCAATATCGCAAAATAGTTTTTTAAAACGAGCATATCTTTAGAATTTCCGATACAGAGACTCACGCGCTGGAGATAAAAATGTTTTTTTTTCTGCACAACGTTGCCATTGCTCGCTTTGAAATCCTTGAGTTTTGTTTAATCAAAAATTCGTCAAAGTTTTAAAAAAATAGGAAATCGATCATAAAACAAATTTCAAATTTCACAATTTGGTCTTCCACATGCTCATATTCGTTGGAGGATTACGTTATTCAAAAATTCGATGACTCTATGTACCGTTTGTTTTATCACAATACGAGAAATATACATACATTTAATGCAGATTTTTCATTATTTAAATTTCTTCAAATATATAATGCAGGAACTCTAACATTTTGTGGCAACAGTTTTGAAAAGTGAACCGACATTTATGAGTCCGACGCAAAATGCCAAAACGAAACTAATAGTCCTTCGGGATTCAAATCCCTTTGGACTAAAAAAAAAAAAAAAAAGAAGGAAAGAAACATACTTCTTTGCCAGGCATACTTCGTGGAAGTGACAGGTCAGCGAATAATCAAAACCAGCTAACTAACGGAATTAAAGCGAACGGCAATTAAAATTTCAGTTATTCAAAATACGGTCAAAATTAAAAATACATGATTTGTAGAATGTTATAGATATATTACAAACCACTTAGACCTGGATCACTAAACTAAAACTCGATCAGCAAGTTCCAGTCAGAGTAAACTTAAAACATTGGCATGTTACAAAAAGTGGCTGCCATAACATTGGAGAAACCGAGTCGATTCTGGGTTACCAGAAAACGGGTAGAAGCGTCGGTATTTGGCGCCAAATCAAATGACACCCTTTCCTACATTAGAACCTTTCTTTTAATGTAAGCAGGTTTTAGAAAAGATAATCAATAATATATGTAAAAAAACAAACCAGTTTGGCTAATATTAAATAACTGATTTTGCAAATGAAGTTGGGAAAAGAAAGTGTCCGAAAATAAATGTGAGTCATTATATGTTATAGAAAAGAATTAAGGAGAAAAATTTAAAATTTACATTCGTTTTATTCAAATTCGCAATTAGCAACGAATATCCTCGTAGCTGCAGCTGGATTTATTCCAAAAACAAAATAGTAATTGGTTACCTTCTCACTTAATAAAAAGAAAACGCTCAAAAAGAACTTCAGTAATAATACTTTTTAATTGAATATTTTGATTTTTTTCTTTTTGTTGTTGCATTCTGAACTACTAAAAAAATGACTGTAACCTCCACACTAGCTGAGATTATAAAAAATATTACAAACACTGGGAGGAGGGAAAAAAAAAACAAAAAAACTTATGTATATACGAATATGCATATACACGTAAGACAAGGAATTGACATTTCGATTTAAATTTTATGTACACTACATGGTTGCTGGTAATGAAATGAAATATTATTTCCTTTGTTGGTGCATAATTAGAATGACGAATTCTCTACTTAACGATGCAAATAAGATTCATGCAAAATAACAACAAATCTGCATTTTTACATCAAATCTGATGTAAAAACATCAGCTTTGAAGTGTAAGCAACAGCAATGCGCATCGTAATTACGCGCAGGTGAATAGAGCTCGAAGTGGATTTCTAGCAGTTTTTAATAGGAGAATGGTAACTTTTACTGCAGACTGATATTACTTATAGGTAATTTAAAAAGAATTCTTTACGGTTATGGAAATAGTTATTAAAATTAAGCATTTAATAGTTTTAACTTATTTTCCTACGAACATTACAGTTACATCAATAACAGCTGGAACAGAATTTCACTTTTCTTATTCATTCTTCGGTAACCGTAACAGAGGAAAACCGAGGAAAGAATATTCTACGCGGACTTGACCCACTTTAGATTGCATTATTTTGCTTCATCCAAATCGCTTCGGAGATCTTGCGTAATACCAGCACAACATAAAGGTATGCAGTTTTTAACCTACATTAAAACGTAACGTTTAATCTTATTCATGTTTAAAAGAATAGTCTGGCTAGCCATTTATGTTGTTTGTAATTTGGAATTGATTCGATTTCTGTGTATATTCAAGGACTTTACAATATTAGTTATCTGGGAACCTTCCAGAAAGAGAACTTTTTCAGTGATTTCAATGTGGTAATATTTTTTTTTTAACTCAAACGGGCAATTTTTGAACCCAAACGGCTATTAATTTCGCTTTGGTATTTTGCGTTTATTCACTGTAAACGGTGGTTCACATTTTAAATTGTTGCCATCAATAGCCCTGTATTACATTTAAAGAAATTAAATAATGAAGAATCTGCATAAATGTATGTATGTTTCTCGCACTTTGATAAAACAATGTTACCCAGAGACATCAAATTTTGAAAAATTTACGTCTCAGCCGAATATGGGCATATGGAAGCCCAAATTTGGAATTTGATTTATTATCTATTAGCTGATACCCGCCCGCTTTGCTGAGCAAACTATCTATTTGAATGTGAACTTATATGGGCGAAATATATAATTTCGAATTGATAATTAATATAATTTTTTTTAATTTAAAGTCGGGAAATATAGTGCCAGTTAATGAATCTGTCATACACAGATTTCCACATCACCCATAAAGTACTGTGTATTGGGATACGTCCCCATTATTTGTAGAGACATTAGGTATTTTTGGAAGCAGGCAAGATGAAAAATTAGCAACGCCTTCGCCAGGAATCGAACCGCGGACCTCTCAATTACGTGCTGAGCTTGCAGACCACTACACCACGAAGGCTAGCGAAGAAGGTGGGAGAAATACCTTATATATTTAACGTGGTGGGATCCCCAGTAAACCTACACGACGAAAAATTGTCAACATAAAACTAAGGTTTATATATATTTAACTGTTCATAGTTCGATCTTTGTTATCAAATTTTATCAATTATTATCTGTCCTGATTTTTATGTATGCAATTTTTATAAATAATAAAAACATTTTTATTTTTCCGCAATAATTGCTCTAATAATAACATTTATTTCATGAAACTTATGTAGCAGTTAAATATAAATGTTATTATCTAATTGTTAATGTTATTGTGCATCATTTAATGTTTAATGTTGTTTAAACTCTCATTGGATATACAATTATTTCCACTTAATAATTTTAAAGAAATCATTTATGGGCAACATAGTAGGAGTTGGGCACAATAAAAGAAATTCTAAAACGTGGATTTGAAAAACAAATATATGAGAAACTTCAGTCGGATGTATAGTTTCGGAGATCTCGTGATGAGACAGTGGTATTTCGCTTATATATAGTATATAGATTTTATATTTTGTACAGCATTTATAAGTTTTTTTTTTTTAAAAAAAAAAAAAGAAACTCAACGATTTCAAAGCGAGCAATGGCAGCACTGTACGGAAAATATAATAAATAAATAATTAAAAAGAAAATCTAAAAGGTTTCAGATTTTAAATTATGTCCAAAGGGGCGTTTTCCCATTTTGTGTTACCTTTATTATTAAATATCATGTTCGCACTAAACCATAAAATTCAGTTTGAAGAGCATTCGCACATAATTTAATTGAGCTTTCTTAGAATTTACGATACACAGTTTCCCGCGCTGAAGGTTTTTTTTTTTTTTTTTTTTTTTTTTTTTTTACAACGTTGCCATTTTCCTTTGAAATCCTTGACTTTTTTAATCAAAAATTAAGTTTTACAAAATATGAAATCGATAATAAAACAAATTCCAAATTTGCTCTTCCAGACGCCCATATTCGCAGTCATTCAAAATTAGATGGCTCTAGGTACCGCTGTTTTATCACAATGCGAAAAGCATACATACATTAATGCAGATTCTTCCTTATTTAATTTCTTCAAATATAATACAGGGCGATAATATTTAGTGGCAACAGTTTGAAAAGGGAAACGAACATTTAGAATGATTCGACGCAAAATCCAAAACGAAAACAATAGTCCTTTGGGACAAAGCCCCTTTGAACTAAAAATTATCTCCAGCGTGCAAGACTGTGTATCGGAAATTCTAAAGATATCCTCTATTAAATATTTTGTGATATTACTGTTGAATTGTAATTTATGGTTTAAGCGCGAATATAATATTTAATAAATAAAGGTAACACACATAACGTTAACAAAACGGCGTACATTTTTTTAAAAATTTATTTCGATTAATTAATGTTCTTAACTAATTAACATTAATAGTCATTAATGTTAACACTAGTAATTAGTTAATGTTAATAATTTAATTCGATTGATTGAACAAATTAATTTATTATCTTAGTAAATTAAATAATATTAGTAAAGAATTTTTTGAATGAAAAAGCAGTATTTTTAACACCATAATTAGCTTCGAACCGCGAAACTCACGTTTGTGTAAAATATTTAATTATATCCGGTTGCTTTAATGGAAGTACGAATTTTCGCTGAACTGCGTAGGTGCGCTTCGCAGTTAAACGCTACGAGGAGAAAAAAATTGACAAAAGTAGCCGAGTCATTGACAAGCGCGCCGTTACTTTTCTACCTGGTAACATCGAGGATAAACATCGCGACGTCACACACCACGTGAAAAGCAGAAAAGTAATAAGAAAAAATAACCGCGACGTGACCCTTTTCTGTAGAGATTTCGCTGCAAACGCTCAGTCGTAGCTCAGCTGAGAGTTGAAAATCTGACTGAAAAATAAAATAAAAAGGTTAATAAAAAAGAAAAAAAAAAAAAAAGATTAGCTATGACGAAACAAAACAAAAATAAAATAGACCGGTTCTGTTATTTGCCACCGCCGGTGGTAACGCCTTCTAGGAAATCGCATCATCTGTGACGTCACCTTCGGAAAAACGTCACCTCCCACATTTTCCGAAGCAGATTCGCCGAAGTGACGTATTAGGAAATCCTCGGTTTCCGGCGGCCGTGAGTGGTGAGTCAGTGAATTGCCTGTGTCCAATGAGAGTGCCGGAAGTACTCTGCCCGGCAGAATGCAACTTCTCGCTGTTTAATTGAGAAAACTCTGGTCAGTTGAGGAAAAAGTTTCGCGGCGGAAAGCTCACGTAGATAAGAGGACTTCGAGTGCTTCTTCCACTTTTTTTTCAAGTTGTTGCCATTCATACAGTAGTAATCATGCTGCCGTTTGAGACGACAAACATCTTCGAACAACTACCCAGGTTTGTTTTTAAGATGCCTAGGGTGGTGCCGGACCAAGAAAGTAAATTCCAGTCCGACGAACTCTTTAGAAGGCTATGCAGGGAAAGTGAGGTAAGTTTATATTTTTATAGTGATTCTTATCTCGTAATCGTGAGTCATACATACTTTCTGTGTGTATATCTATCCGGCGCCTTCCTAACCAAACCCACCTGATGATGTGTGCACAAATACAGGTGAACAGGTGAGCGCGGGGGGGGGGGTTGTGGACACCCGAGATGTTTATATAGACCGATCGGTTCTTGTCCGGATCCCGCAAGTGTCTAGAGCAATACATTGGGTGTTTACTAAATTTACATTGTGTACGGGATACGGTTGTTAACAGCATACAAGGTAGTTGACATTAATGCTTAATTAATTAAAAACGGAACACTTGATACACATAATACATTAATTACAATCAAAGCAAATTAAACACATAATACAGATTTTACGAAATAACATTAATTATACTAATTAACTACAATGCACATTATACACACACATTGTGAGATAGGTAGTAAAAAGTATTTAGTTCCTTACAACAATGTGCATCACGCCTAGTACCCCAAAAATGTACTTTACGAAATGCTGTCCGTAACGTAATGTGTAACAGGCAATGTAAAAATCATCTAGTTCCTTAGAATAATGTGCATGATGTGCATGTGTACTGCAAAAGTGTATATTCAGAAGCAGTGTCTTTAATATTATGTGAAACAGGTGACATAAAAAGTATTTATTTCCTTAGAATAATGTGTATCATGTCTAGCACTGCAAAAGTGTATTTAAGGAATACTGTCCCTAATGTACTTTACGAAATGCTGTCTCTAACATAACGTATAAAAGGCAATGTAAAAATTATCTAGTTCCTTAGAATAATGTCCATGATGTATCGTACTGCAAAAAATGTATATTCAGATACAGTGTCCATAATATCATGGGTAATAGTTAATGTAAAAAGTGTTAATTTCCTTAGATATAGTGTATAGTGTTGAATGTGTATCAAGTCTAGCACTGTGCATTTACGAAATACTGTCCTTAACATAATGAGTAATGGGTATTAAGAAAAGTATTTAGTTTCTTACAATAATGAGTGTTATGTGTAATGTGCATCGTGTATATCACTGCAAACGTGTATTTTAGGAATCACTGTCCTTGACATAATGTATGATATGTATATTGTACAAAGAATTTAGCTTCTTATAATAATATGTATTGTGTTTAAAAATACACTTTAAGAATTACTTAGGCAGTTTTATGCAGCCCGCGAATATATTTCCCTTAAATTAATTAGCATTATTATAACAGGAATTTGAAGGGGAAAAAAATGTAACATTTTCCTGGTTTAAAGTCCAATTTAACATTATTTTCTTTATCAAAAACAAGCACGAGTATTTCTCGGAAGATCTAGAAATAAAATTAATTAATTTACAGAGTCATATAAGTTTCATAAATCTTACTGAAGATTTGAAGATACAAATTTGATAAAATCTTACTAATACTTGTCAAAAAGATATATATTCTCAGTTACGAATTTTCGCAACAACAACAATTGCTTTGCTTGGCAGTGCATTTACAGTGTCAACAGTTTTTTTAGTCCAAAAAGGACGTTAATCCCTAATGGCGTATTAATCTTGATGGGACATTTTGCTTCAATTCTTTGTATGATTTTTCTAATTGTTGTCAACAAATATTATCACCCTGGATTATATTAAAAAAATTAAATAATAAAGAATCTACAGGTATGTATGTACCTTTCTTGCATTGCGAAAAAACAACGGTACCTAGAGTCATCAGATTTTGAATAGCGTAGTTCTCCACCCGAACACGGGCATCTGGAAGCTCAAATTTGGAATTTGTTTTGTTATCTATTTCATATTTTGCAAAATTTTAACGAATTTTCGATTAACAAACTGAACGATTTTTAAGCGAGCAGTGACAACACTGTACGGAATAAAACATTTTTATCTCCAGGGATCCTGTCGATTGGAAATTTCTAAAGATATGCTATTTTTACATTTTGTGATTTCGCTGTTGAATCGAATTTTGTATGGCGTAAGCGCCTTACAAAATTCGATTTAAGGGGACTTGTACACCTTAAAACCCATAAGATTTTCAAATATGTGACTGTTGCAAGAATTGTGATAACTTATTTATTTTAAAAGCAATTACTTCCAACTTTTTACAGATAACTACATAATATAATTGTTTTCTGAAATAGTGATCAGAAAGTTTGTGTTGCCACAAATATTTTTTAATTTAATCGCTTTTGCAAAAGTTTTTGTTATGTTTCTCAACCTCACCTTGCGCGCACAGTTTAAAAACATTCTGTTGCATAATTTAATTCCATTTTAATATAGCTTTATAACATTGGAAACTACTATGAACCAAAAAAATTCTAAGAATTTCATGTTAAATTTTTATTTGTTTGGAGTCAGTTTATAAAATGTATTTTATTAAAAAAAAATCTGTAATCTTTCGTCATAAAATTTTTTAGAATTAAAATATTCATCAGATTTTAGATTTAGTTAAAAGTTGGCTCATATAAAGAATCCATTAATTTCAAGTATGTACTCATAGCCATTTTAAAATATCGTGCGCGCAGGTGGAAACGTGACAAAATGGTGTCACAAGCGGATTAAATTACAAATATTTGTGGGCAACACAACTTCTGATCACTATTTGAAGAACTATATTATGTAGTCGCGTAAAAAGTTGGTAATTAATTTAAATATAAAATATTCCAATTCTTGCAACAGTCTTATATTCGAAGGGGGTAAGGGGTCTAAGGTGTCCTGAGCTCCTTTAAGGCCCAGAACTGATATAAAGAAAAGAATAAAGAATATAAATAATACATTAGGAAATCTCGAAAGGAGCTGATTAATTTAAAGTTTCATATAAATCTTATTCAAAGATTTGAAGATACAGACATTCTCAACTTTTTATTGTACAGAGGATTTTAAGCACATTTTTTAGACAATTTTTATTGCTTTTACAGAAATATTTTAGGTAATTTTTTTGTGTTTAAATGTTCTGTTTGACAACCCTTATTCTTCCCGTAATTCTTCTCCTTTTGTAATATCGGAAGAAGTATTTTATCCCATTCCTCTTGAGCAGCTTTCAAAAAGTCCAAGGAATGTTGTAGGCGGACATTTGGACAATCCGCTTTTTAAAAGTCCAGAAGCACAAAATTCCGTGAATGATACATCAGAAAATTTAGTCTGTGAAGAAATGTGAATGAAGGATATGGTCTCCACACACGTTTCTTGCTCCCCCCCTTTTTTTTTTTTTTTTTCTTTTTTCTCAAGGAAGTTAACAGTGGAATTTGACGTGTTGTTGCGTGCTTTGTCTTGATGCAGTTCTACTAATTGATGGCATTGTGGGTAAAGTGAAGGTATTTGATATTAGAAAAACTAGGTGTAAAATATGTTCCTGATAATATGTGGAGTCATATATCCCTTTGAAAAACCTTCTGTAGATTCTTTGAACTACGTTTTAAGAATTTTTTCTCCTCTTTGATGATAATAAATGGATATCTTTTAATGGCAGTCATTTGAATACATCCAGGTTTTACCTATTGTGACATCATCTTCTCATATTTGTCTGCATAAATGTTTCTCATAAAGATTTCCACAGCGAGTTCTTTCGGGGATATATCTTGAACAAAAACGATACATATTATGCTTTTTCGCCTTTTTAAGACTTAAATCAGCATTCATCACTTTGTTTACAGTTAACATTGAGCATTTTAATGATTTTGCAACTGTCCTCCGACGTGCCGGATTCTCTTCTAATATTAAAGATCCTACCTTTGCAACATTGGAAAAATTCCGTTTGTTCATTGGATATGCATTTGGAACAATTTTTCCACTTGAAGACAAACTTTGACGTTTCTTTTCTTGTTGACAATATTACTTATGGTAGCTTTAGATATCGAAAACCCATGGCTTTCGCAGCTTTTTTAATAATTAGATAACTAATCATTTTCTTCCGAAAGAGCACGAGCATAGATTTTGCATGAAAATAGAATTGTCAAGTAGCAGACGATAATTTATACTTTCCGAAATATAGCAGCAGTTAAAAAAAATTGCCAAGAAGACGATTTTTTTTTTTTTTTTTTTTTTTTTTATAGAAAAGCAAAATCGGCTAAAAATATGAGAACAACCTATTTGCCAGAAATTAAATCAGCTCAGTTACGATTTTTTTAGCACTAAGAATGATTACTTTGTTTCGGAATACATTTCTATGTAAACGGCATTTTTTGTTCATAGTTGATATAATAAGACCGACGATCATCTACAATCCGAGAGGAAAACATTTTCTAGTAATTTTTCTCCAGGCCAACAAACTTAGAATCACAGCACCACTCAGAGTCAAGATAAAGATGTTTATAAATATCTATACACATACACATGTATTTTTATTCATGTCTCAAACAATCTATGTGTATAAAGAAGAATGTTTCTGTGTTTATCCTCTAATAACTCACTCACCACTATAGCTATCGTCACTAAACTTTCTACAATTCTTTTCTGGGTTCTGGGATCAGTCCACAACCACTTTTTTCCCAAAATAATTATCTAAAATTAGAGATATTAATTAAAAACTCCGGAAACGCTAATTTTCGCCCTTATTTTTCCGAGTGGCAACAGTCTCGCACTCTGGAGATAAAAAGCTGCTTTATTTCAAGAAGTGTTGCCACTACTCGCTTTCAAATCGTAGAGTTTGTTAATAAAAAAATTCTAAGTTTTACGATGAAATAAAAATAGCGTAGCCAAACGTTAAATGCATAATTTTCGATTCCAAAAATTCGTGGGAAGCTATTTCGACTGTTGGCATCTTCGTACCACTTTAATTAGCCGAGATATTAATTAAAAACTCTGAAAACACTAATTTTCGCAATCATTTTTCGGAGTGGCAACAGTATCATGCGTTTGATGTAAAATGCTTTATTTCGAAAAGTGTTGCTAGTGCTGTCTTTCCAATCGTAGAGTTTATTAATCAAAAATTTATAAGTTTTACAAAATCTATATATGTAAAGAAGAATGTCTGTTTGCGTGATTGTTACTGATCAA